AATTCAAGCACGCCCTTAGATCTCAGGGCCCGAAGTCTACCGCAGAACCCAATCATCATTTTTTCAAGCCTTTTTAGGTGCAAGAAACCACAATGACACAATGAACCTGAACCCTAAACCCTAGATCATTTAGGCCCTACGGTAAACCCCTATATAGCAGTGTCCATTTCGTTTTCCATCTTCTTTTCCATCTGATTCTCCACTATTAGGGGGGTAATATCCCTATTCACCCCTTCAAAGGGATCTAGGGTTTCCACTTCATTTTCCATTTTCTTTTCCATTTGATTCTCCACTATTAAGGGGGATGCTAGGAAAACCCTAAGCCCTACGGCCTGCATGGCTTTCTCCTGGATCTTGGCAGTCACCGCACGGCGCTGCACCAACCAGGGTCGCGACTCCAGCTTGGGCGCATGCCTACACCAACCCCATGTTACCAGGATGAGTGTTCAAGGTTTAGGGTTTGGGATTTGGGGTTTGGGGTTTAGGGTTTAGGTTTGGGTTTTTGGGTTTGAGGTTTAAGGGTTTAGGGATTTAGGGAAACAATAAGCCTTAAACCCAAAACATAAACCCTAAAACCCTCCATGAAGTCCTTTCCCTGCAACCTCAGCGAGTATCACAAAGCCCAGGGTTTGGGTTTAGGGTTTAGGGTTTAATTGCTTAGGGTTTAGTGTTTAGGGCTTAAGGTTTAGGGCTTAGGGCTTGGGGCTCATCTGGCACCAAAATCAAACCGTTGTGATATCAAATGCCAGCAAAAAGTTCGCAGCACAATAGGTTGGGAACTCATTAAATCCTCCAACAGCCACCTTCCAATTGAGGTAGGCAACGTCCTGACTTCTTCAAGAGGCCGTTTAAACTTACAGCGCAACACAACTGCTTGTCACACAGCGGCTTCGTCCTGGTAAAAAACGAAAACCTAAGACTTATAATAGGGATCTATAGGGTATATATTGGGTTATAGGGATTGCTAAATGGGGATAATGGAAAAGAAAATCGGAAACTACTATTAGTACATCCACAGAGTTCCCACCAACTTTGGGCCGTTCTTCGGGTTTAGGTTTCAAGTTTTGGGGTTTAGGGTTTATGGTCTAATTGGGGACTGTACCAGAAGGGGGCCCTTACAAACCCTAACCATGCATGCATCCCTATGCAACCCTTACAACCGCTTACTTCCCTCTAAGTCCCAATAGAACTCTCAGACGCGCTGTTGGAAACCCTGAGCCCCCAATGCTGAATCCCTCTCTCCTCAACTGCATACATCCATATATACCCCTGTACATCCCATACAAGCCCTATATAATCATTAAAACCCCTTGTATAACTTTGGTAGACCCCCCACCCTGTAGTAGTGTTAAAAAAAGGAATATAAGAGGACCCTAACATAATCCCCACTATCCCAGATAGTCACTACTACCGGGTGAGGGGTCCACCTAGTATTCCTCAGTATATAACCCTAAACCCTAGACCCTAAACGCCTAAACCCTACCCTCATCTTGGGGCCATGGGGAACAGCCCATCGGTCCTCGACTTGCGCAGACGGGTGCGCTTCGGGACAGCCTGGCGCTGGTGAAGGATCTCGTAGGGCTTCGCATGTAGGATGTTTCGGGATTAGGATGTTCCTTTCAAGAGTTTCCAAGAATTAGGGCCCCAGTCTGGGAGTCCCTATGATGATTATGATGATAGTATATTGCGGCGCATATTTCGTCAGGTTTGGGGTTGACGGCTTAGGAAACAAAAGTCTCATCTAGTAAGCAACAGCTCAAGAACTTTGGTGTTCGTTGGGTGGTGTTTGCGCTCGCGGCCAGTCACCCCATTACACCACAGACTCCCTGTTTGAAGACTCGAAAACAAAATGTGGTGTGAAGAAAGGCGCTTGCATGGTTTTATACCGACCAAGCAGAATGATGACAATCGGAAGACCCTCAAACTGGAAGACTGCAGGATCGAACAACCCTAAATAGTTGTTTCCATTTTCTTTTCCATTATCCACAGAATACCCCTATATCTACTTGATGGGGACCACCCTAAACCCTAAACCCTAAATAGTAATTTCCATTTTCTCCAAGATAATCTCTATATAAATATGTACTTGATGGGGACCCTCAACCCTAGCTTGAATCCGGAAGCTCGGGTGGCTCTTGACCACATAGGGAGTTTTTGAAGGCATTCCACATGGTCTAAACTCCTTAAAGGGGGGTTATATAGGGGATTATATGGGGGACTACTATAAGGGTTATTAGGGGAGATACTAGGAGTTTAGACAATGGCTCACATGAGAGTCGGGTTTAGGGTTTCGGGGCTCGCGACAATCAAAGTAACTTGCTGCTAAACCTGTAAGCAGGGACACCAAAGCATTTACTAACTTCCAAAAGCAACTCTCCAACACTGGCATTGAAGAATTGATATCCCGAAAGCGCTTCCTAACGGCGTCTTGGAAATACTCAAGCAGAAAACTTGCCTACACCATATCTGGGAGGGTGACTAAAGTACTGGTCCCCAAATTGGCTACCTCGGAGAAGTACCCGTATTTCAGGGGACCGTACTATACTAATTCAACGACCTGCATCGGGACGTACTAGGGAAATGTAGAAACCACATTCCCCGCAATCCAAATCCCCAAGCCCTAAACATCCATCCACTGTCGTAGACCTCACGGCAAAGAGAACTCTAAACGATCTCTGTGCTATGAGCACATAAGCCACTGTACAAGGAGTTAGAGGTGTTATTTGCAGTCGTACACGCAACGGCATGATTGCCTAGATTCCTATACACTCTAACAGAAGCTACTGCTGCGGCTTGGATGTAGAACAATAATTTCAAAAACATAACTGCACGAAACACAAGAAAATAAAATCATCATGGCGTGACAGTTCAACCTCAAATTTACGGATTCCACAAACGATGCTTGACAGGTAACTCCTGAAGCCCAAAAACCCACGAGCCGAAACCCCAACTCCGGCCCCCGGAACTGGTAACCGCCAACAGCCGCAACCTGTACAGACGCTGCTGGAGCATTGGGAAATCTCCCCAAGGCTAGACCCTAAACGCTACACACTAAACCCCAAATCCTAAACCCTTCCTGGGCATCGGTCTCCACCAGGGATCCAGGGAGGCGCCTGTGCGACAGCTAGGGGCTTTTCGACTACAAGCATGTAGGTACATTACAAAACCCGAACGCTACTATCCTTGAATTCTACAAGAGCAATCACAAGAGACTAGGGCAAATACGTAATATTACAGCATCTGGTGAAAAACTTGGGCTTTACCTTACCTAGCCTGTAGATTCAGGGAGTTTACATCCGGGGCCACGGGCTTGGGTCCGACATTGAGGTGTTCCCTGCCTAGATCTGACGAGTGTGCAGGTCTGGGGCTTGAAGAAAATGAAACAGGTTGGTTTCCCAAAATTAACGGTACCTTTTTGGGGGGTCCCCATAATAAGGACTATAATGCTTGGGGGTCTATATTGGGTTCCCTTATTTGGGGAAACCACCATATGTCTCTGGATTCTAGATACTGAATCCTATCACTCCCAACCGGCATCCAGGCTGAAAGCAATTCGTAAATTCAGATGGAAGTGAACAGTTCAGGTTGCCGAGGTGCAGGGTTCAGAAATATGTCAATGTCCCCAAAATGCGGGGCTCCCAGTATAGACACCCCAGGCTCTGCTCCCTAATATGGGGACCCAAAAAAAGACTCCTAATTTTGGCAAAGCCGAAACCCTTAAACCTTAATTACCCCTATATACCTGAATATAATCCCCCCAAAAGGTACGCCTGATTTTGGGAGACCCTAAACCCTAGAAACCCCTATATGCCTTTACTAGATAATCCCTAATATCCCCCCTAAACCCTAAACCCTAAACCCTAAACCCTAATTTTGGGAGACCCCCACGTTAGGGTTTAGGAGTTCAGGGCTCAGGGT